CTCAGTGTGAAGAGCATCAGATTAAATTCATCCTATTTTTATGCAGTCACAACAACAGTAAGAACTACTTTTGTGTCGAGTCAGAACTTTAGGGAATCGATACGGTATCAGGAAATAAAATATTGCAATATTTCAGCGTATCAATATTTTCTTACACCCCCAACCGACACCTAATTTAAAAAAACAAAAACAAAAAAAAACCCCGAACATGTAGAGAATCTGTTTTAAGAAATGTTTGACTTTTGTTGTTGTAAAATTTTTAAGAAACTCTTTTTCACAGCGGCCCAGAATAAATGTGACGATCAGATTTCTGCTGGTTTGTGTCCCGTCTCCTCCCAGTTCACTGAAACGAAGCTTCATTTCTCCTCAGGAGATCCACTGACCCGACTGGTCTGCAGCTCGGCCACGTGGTCGCGTCACGGCAGTCATCCAAAGTGTCGGATCAGAACCAGCAGCAGCTTCTGACCCCGACCCAGGAAGTGGCCGAGGCTCACGTTCCTTTAAACACAACAAACCTCTAATTAACACAGAGAAGTGTCCCAGGCTGCTTTACTGGTTATTAACTGAACCAGCAGCTGAAAGGAGCTGATGATCTGAACGTACGCTCCGCTCCGCGCATCAGTGAGCACACAGTCAGGGCTCAGGCTGTCGGCCATCTTTCCTCCTGACAGCTGCAGACCTCCGTCCACGCTCTGCAGGAAGGAGTCCCACTCATTCTGCAGAACAAAACCATTAATTCAACAGAAAATTATCAACTGATCATCTTCTACCTTCAACATCTGCAGCAAAACAACAAATATAAACAACCAGAGTTWATTAAAGAGCTGCAAACTATATTTTATCATCAATGCTCAAACTTATTCTTGTTTTTTTTTTTGTAAAAATAATGTGATTTAATCAGCTGCAGAGCAGTTGCCTTATTATAGGTATCTACTAAATTTTTAGTAAAAATATCAAGCTTAGTTTATATAATGCATTATGGNTCTTTCTGCCTGGCTCCTGGGTTTGTGTCCCTACAAACAAAGTGTGGTTTCATTCATGGTATTCCAAAAATTTAATCAAAATGTGTAAAAAAGGAGGACCTTGTTGTGAATCAGCACATACCAAACCCCTCTGAGATACCCATCAGCGTATATTCAGGCCGATTCAAAGGGCCTCTTTGTTTCTCACCCAAACTATTTAAATAAAATCTGCTGCTGAGCATCGAGCGACATCTGAAACCTCGTTTAAACTTTTATCAAAGAACCAACCATTTGGTTTATATAGTCTGTAAAGTTTTAGAGGGAAACATTAAGCGCAAAAGCAGATGTGGAAGTTTTTCACATCAGTTTTAACTTTTTTTTTTCCTTTGACAGTTTTAAAACTGAACGGTATTTTCAGAGCAAATAAACAAACTTAACTTGAGATTTTTATTTCAGTAATACAGTGTTTATTTCTTTTTGTGTTTTCCAATATGAACCACAGTTTTTTTAAATACCTGATCAAAATACACAAAATCCAATTTTTGCTTAGTTTTTCTGACAACAAACACCAGTTTTGCTGTATTTTTTTAATTCCAGGCAAAAAGAGGTTTAATTTCATCAGAAATCCTGGGTTTGGATACAGGCTGATTTTACATCATATTTTTTATCATTTATTTACATAAGAGACACTTAATTTCCTAATAGATATAAATGTGTTTAATTTCTATCATTAATCTACATTTCCTGATATAATTTTATGATCTTTCCTCTCATAAGCAAAGACAATGTTTCAGCAATGAGTTGTAGCTTTTTTTGTTTGATTTTTAGCTAATATGGTTGATTTAAGTTTTAAAATATCTCTTTGTTTTGCTAAAATTACACTTTATTATTTTTTAAYTACCCATAAATATTAAATGAAGGCATCGTGGCATTAACTACAACACTGACTTGACAAAAGCGTATCTTTTCTCCACACTCCAGCATCAGTCGCGCCTCTTCGTGTCGTGAGTGTGAGGCGTGACATCATTAACGTGCGTCGAAATGACTCCGTGGTGTCCGTCACGTCGTGGCCACATCGTGCGTTAAYGCTCGGCCGCCGCCTGCAGGACGCCCGCCAGGCTCGGCCGGTCCAGAGGAGTTTCAGACGGATGAGACAGAAGCACCTTCCCCGTGTTGTCCAGTAAAAAGTCTCCTCCCATCTGGAATTATAAACACTCTGATCCAAATGTTTATGTTTATAAAAGACGAATGTTTGCAAAGAACAGTTCTGCTGAAAAAGGTAAAAATTATTGAAATATTGGCTGAACTTYTAAAGGGGTAAAAGTAAGTGTTTCTCAGGCATATATTTAAATTCTATACCATAATAAAGTAACAGTAGCTGCGTTTCCATTGCAAATGTGCTCAAAACTTTGTTGATATTCTGTTAATGTCAAAAAACACAGTTTCACAACTGCATTAAGTAAKAAATGTTATTAAAGTCACGCGTGAATACGTTTGTTCTCATGATAAGTCATTACAAACATGGCGGCGATGGATGTAAACACATAGAATGTTGCTACCACGACACTAGCATGGTAGCAACATGCTACCACGCTAGTGT